ATGCATCGAGGCGATGGGGGTAAGGCCATAAGGGGGAACTACGCCTCTTAAGATACAATCATACAACTCACGTTTTGGATTGTGGTGTGACATTTATTTTACAACCTGCTACGAAAAAGTAGACAAAGGCTGGTCAAACAAACACTAAGGGCTCCTTTGATTCAAAGGATTTACATAAGAATTTTGGAGGATCATAATCCTTAGGATTTTTTCTTATGTTGGCTGTTTGATTCAAAGGATTGAATCCTACGGGAATTTGTCCTAAGAATTTCTTTGTACTACTTCCTGTAGGATTTCTAGCATCCACTCAAACCTCTTTGAAAAAATCCTTTGTTTTTCCTATGATGCAACCAAACAACCCAAAATCCTATAGGATGGAGATGAGCATGACATTCCAATCCTATGTTTTTCCTATTCCCACGTTTTAAGAATCCTGTGAATCAAAGAGACCTTAAAATTTGGAAAAGTGGGTGGGGCAAACAAGATTACGAGAATACACCACGATGCCAAGCGTGACTTAAAATATGTATACTTCCGACGCTAGTAGAAAAAAATCATAAAATATTTAACAAATGAAGAAACAGAATCAACAACTAATGTTTTCTTGTTTGCCTTTTTTTCTTGGAAACTACGCGCATTGGGAGGCTTAGTTGTAGTATATGAAAATATAAATATTTTTATTGTGAGAGCAAAGTTACAGTTGGCGCTAAATGTAAAAAAAAAAGAAAGGGCCAAGAACGAAACCTCTGGCTATTCACTTACCTGTTATATTTTGCGGCCTTTTTCCTATCTGAAAATAGTGTGTGTTTTATTGATGATAATGAAGCGCAGCATCAACTTACTTATTTACCCAGCAATCTTGGCCCTCCTGGGGCAAACATTCTTGTACTGGATAATTTGTCCTTTGAAGGGCCTGACTATTCCTATCTCTGCCCTTTACGTCGATAAGTCCCAGTATCTGATTCTGTTTTCGGTCAGTCGAAAAGTCGTATTCCAAGTCTAAAGAATCGTCTTATATCAATGTACAGAGGGAGTACTTCGTTTTTGCCGCCCCGCGGCTATGTCTAAACCTTCTTCTTAATCAATGAAAATGGCAAGTCTTTTGCCTTGTTTCAAAAAAAAAAGTACCTCGTTTGGTCAGTGGCACATAAATCAGAGCCTTCACGAGTCTAGTTTTTCAAGTTTGTGGTTTGTTACGTATATCTGACTGTCCAGAGTTCAGTTTGCTAGCTCAACTCAAAGCGGAAGAATTTTTTGCTTTATGACCGGAACAACTAGAGGGGCAAAGATCAGAGTTCAATTGTTTGGAATAATGTTTCTTGGCATAATATTTGTCAATTACTAGCACGTAATTAATTAAGCATGGTCAAGCCTTAATTCGCTATGTTTGCCTGCAAGAGTTTTGAACCCTTCTTTATCCAATTTAGTACTGTCATCATCGTTTAAAACTGACAGAGGGTGAAAGGATGCAGAAGCTGAGTGTTTCAAGCAACATTCAGAAGATTAACTGAACACCAAATGTTTCGAAAGCAAAGTCAGGTAACGAACATTCACACGATTGTTCACAGCCATGGATAAACAAGAGAATATGATTGATAGAATCGCATCTTTAGTCATTCCTCGCATACTAAATCACAGGTAAAATACAGTCATTGCTGGCTTGTTCATCGAACTAATGAAAGAGCCGCTACAGACTAGCATTTACATATGGGATCCAATCAACCAAAAGTCCCCTCATCTTCTCCCTGATATGGAACTAAGAGTCAACTAGGCTAGGGACGGCTACTCCTTGGTGGCGGCGGTCTTCTTCTTGGGGGACTTGGCGGTGGTCTTCTTCTTGGGCGACTTGGCCTCCTTCTCGGCGGCGGCGGGGGACTTCTTGGGGAGCAGCACAGAGTTGATGTTGGGGATCACGCCGCCGTGGGCGATGGTCACGCCGGCGAGCAGCTTGCCGAGCTCCTGGTCGTTGCGGACGGCGAGAAGAAGGTGGCGGGGGATGATGCGGGTCTTCTTGTTGTCCTTGGCTGCGTTGCCGGCAAGCTCCAGCACCTGAGATTCAAAACCAAATCTGTCAGTTACCCGTCGAGCACGAGAAGAGCAGGGCAGAAGAACACTGGAGGACGGGAAAGATCTGTGCGTACCTCTGCGGCGAGGTACTCGAGGACGGCGGCGAGGTAGACGGGGGCGCCGGAGCCGACGCGCTGGGCGTAGCGGCCCTTCTTGAGGTAGCGCCCGATGCGGCCGACGGGGAACTGGAGCCCGGCCTTGACGGACCTGGTCACGGCCTTCTTCCTGTCGCCTCCCTTCCTTCCGGCCATCTTGCTTGCTACTTCTCCGGCGACGAGGGCTCTCGAGGTGTGGTGTTGGCGGCGGCGGTGCTGGATCGGAATGCTCTGAGCTTGTGGGTTGAGAGGCCGGCGGGGGCGCGGCTTTTATTGGAGGCAGGAGCGTCGCGGGAGGGGGGATCGATCCGCGTGACGGGGTGTGCGCACCGTTGGATCTGAGGGGAGCGGGCGGTGGGGATTGGTCTGGGGGTGGCGATCCGTGGGAAGATGCGCTCGGCCAATCAGAACGCAGGGATCTGGATCACGCAGCACACTTCGCTGTGATCAGTTCTAA